GGATATACTCCCTACTCTGCATCCAAGTTTGAATTAAAACAAATTATTGCTTGTATAACCTTTAATCCAGTCTTTTATTCCTTGATTAAACAATGAAGCATTTAATTTTTATGTAATATAATTAAATTTTAAAAAAACTCATATGCTATTAATATATTATCAATCGTGCATGTACCATACATTATTCAAATATAATCTCATTTTAGTTATGAACTCGAAAAATTATCAAAACACCATGGGTGGGAAAATGGTTCATAGAAGTCATTTTATAGATGGGTAAATTTGTCTTTAAAATTTTGAAGATAAGGTGAGTAGGAAAATAGGATAAGAGGGTGGAAATAGCAGCACTCTTCGAAAATTAATGTAGGAAGGGATTAAGAGCAAAATTAGGAGAAAGTGGAAAGTGAGGTGTCTATAATTATCATACTGTATACTTTCGCTTTCGCTTTCAATTCTATATTACTAATTATTTTTAAATAATAAATGTATGTGGTACTTCATAAGTCTTTCAATTCTACATGATTATCACTAAGTATGTCAAGTCCATATATTTGAGACTCTATGTAATCCATAAGTCTACTTTTGACACCCAACATTTTGTTTTTTGGACGATTTAAATTCCAACATGATTTATTTCGTTTTCATAATATCTTTGCTTCGATATGTAGTATTATTATGTTGTTAGGTTGTGGATTAGAATTTGGGATCTCTTCTAAAATGAGGAAGGAAAGTACCACTAGACTGAGAGCTAGCTAGTTATCAGTCCAACATGATGATCAAAGAAATCATAACACCTTTTTATTTAGAATTTTTTTTCTTTGAAAAGTTCAAAAGTAGCTATTTGTACATGCCTATAATCTTTGTTCTTCATCTAATTACTTGGCGCAAATAAAGGGGAAATTGATGATAATACTGAGGAAATTAAACTACATGCTTCAATGTCGACTTCATGTCAAATCGATGTGGTCTTAACGTCAACCTTGATGGCTTGCGGACTTCCCAAGTTATCCAATGATGTCAACGAGAGGGAAATCATTGATAGTTTCTCTTATTTCAGTTTTAGTTTCTTGATCAGAAAGAAGAGAATGTTACGAACATGATGATGAGGGAAATCATGATGTTATTTACCAAACAAGTATTCAATTAGTTAAAGCAAAAATTCAAGAAACAAATCATTAATAGAACGATTTTGAACTATCAAAATGATGATGAATGCAAATGACAAAAAGCCCGCCCTGCTTAGAGTATTTCTGGTCTCTGCCAAGTGTTTACCTTGTTTTTTCTTGTATGCCATATTAGCAATAAATAAGAAAGGCTTGAATTCCTTCTAATCTCTTTAATAAACTATTATTGCTTATACGGAAGGGAGGTAGGCTACTTGGTTAGTTCAACGATCAAACCCTTATGTGTAGAGTGGCTTGCCTAATCCTCTTAGCCTCTATCTACTGGATTTTTACTCTGATTCTCTTTAATAAATTACTATTGCTTTGTTTCAAAGAAAAAATAAGAAGGTTTTTTTAGGAGCAATAGTTCCTCAACTTATGTCTTATTTGCATTTTGGTCCTCAAAGTTAAAAGATGACTATTGTGGTTGCTTAACTTCACTTTCTCTCGCACTGTTGGTCATGACGTCATAATGTTACATTTTCCATCAAATATAAGGGCAAAATGATCATTTTAGGTAGTTTTCAGTTATTCGTCTTTTATAAGAAATGGTCCTTGAATCGTCGGGAATTCGAGGCGATTTTGGGAGGTAGCCCCCCGACGGGGACAGGGATTCCCCGAAATTTTTTTGTTGGGGATAGGTGTGGGGACGGGAATGGTATTACCATACCCGGCCTCGAACCGGCCCGTTGCCATCCCTATGACTAAAGCCAATATTCGAGTTGGATGACTAAAATATAAATCGGGTATAAATTCAAGGACCATTGCTTCGAAAATGCTAGTAAAAAAAAAAAAAATTAAACAAATTGTACTCATACATAGTTTTTACCAAACATCACAATACTTAGGGTCACACTTTTTAATGCAATAACATTAAGATACTACTTGCCTCCTTACCTGTAAGGAGATATTTCTCCTTCATGTGAATCACAGTTTGACACATGCAAAAATAATTCATCAAAAACATAAAATGAAAAACTTATGCACACATATCACATTGTTATTGACAGGAATGTTGATAGGACCCGACCCACATTCCACTTTGGAATCCACGCCAAATCCTGTGTGTGACCGACACCTGGTAAGTGCCGAACACTCTTGACCAAAGTACCCTTCTAACAAAATCCAAAATTAACTTCAAGTTTGATTTCTGCCGAAAATTCGGCAGAGTCTCCCCTGAAAATACTTGTTTCCCAAAGTTTTACGCCTGTACGAAAATCAATTTATAACCACAACCATTTAGCATGCACCAAGTTTGAATTCAAGCAATTCAACAACTTTTCAAGGGATAACACAAAGGGAAGGTAGGAGAGTATTTTGGGTGTAATTACACAAGCTGTGGCGCCACAAAATTGGCCCAAAAAAACCACAAACAGCCACTATTTTTGCACAGTTGGTTTGGGCTCAGTTTTGACTCAAAATTGAGCTCAAACTTTGGGGTTTTGATCTGTAAAAAGTAGGAGGTTATGAAGAGGGAAGAGAGCTAAAAATTTTGGAGGTTGTGGCGTGAAAAATGGTTGCCGGAGTGAGCAGTTTGCCAGCCAAAATGGCCGGTTGTTTTCTATTGCAAGAAAAGAAGAAAATCGGGAGGGAGGAGAGAGAAGAGAGAGGTGACGCGTGAGAGAGAAGGAGAGGTCTGATTGGGCTCTAAAAATCTGACTTTTGAGATAACTACGGTTATGCCACTGACTAATTTTGATCGTAACTTCTTCGTTACAACTCCAATTTGAGCCCACTACGTGTCTACAGACTCATCTCGATGTGCTCTACTACGCAATGGTAAAACTGAAATCCCCAAATTCCTTCCCGAACAAAAAGTCAACTTTGAAACTATTAAAATATTCCTGGGGTAAAATTGTCTTTTACTTGAATAAATTAATAATTAAATATTAATTTAGGATTGGGTTATTACAAATGTAGGAGCTCCTACTTATCTGATAAGAAGGGAAGTATTTCCCATAACGTTATTCAAACTAAAGATCAAATTAGTAGTTTTAAATTGCTATTATCTGATGCGAACAGTGCACCAACATGGAATAAGTTAGGTTACTTCTATTGGATCGTACTCCTTAGAGCGGTTCCAGCGTTGAGCCCTTGCCAGGGCAGGAGGGGGCCTAAGCCCCAAATTTGTCTTCCAGGGGGCTAAAGCTGCTAGGGCAGCTGCTGGGGCCCACGAAACCAGGCCAGCCCTCTGGCAAAATGAACCCGCGCTCTAGCCTGGGTTTGCTGACGTTAGCGATGTCGTCATCAACAAATTTTTTTTATAAAAAATCTAAAAAAAATACTAAAAATTTCAGAATTTTTAAAAAATAAATACTTAGTCATATTCTTCACTTCCCACACCAACACTTTATACAAATTCCTTTCCTCATATCTCATGTGAATAGTTGTTGCCATGGCAATGAGTGGAAACACCACAACCTTTTGCAGTGGCTGCCACTATTCACATGAATAGTAACAGCCCTTGCCTTGCCCTTGCCCTTTGCCATAACAAATGGGTGGAAGTGCTCTTAGATAACATCATATTTGAAGGGTTACTGAAGATTTTATTCACTCCAACCTAAATTTTCTTTTGAATTAATACATGGTGTAAGATTAAAAATTGCTTTTCTTTAATCCTAAATTGAATACTAAACCGTACAATGGTATGACCTACACATATGTTATAGTCAAAAGTGAAATTCAAATTTAATGAATAAGTGGATTCTATTTGGTGTTATATTAAAAGCATCTTTTCCAACAACAAAAAAGTGGACTCTATTTCTATTAGAGATATGCAATTTAAAAGGTTTAAAAATAGTTTTATGGATTGTTGGTAGGTCACACTTAGATTGTGCATCAATTGATTGAATAGACATTACATGTAGACTTAGCATTACTCCCAATCATCTAACATATCACTTGGTTTACACTCTGAGAGCGTCTCCAACAGTAGTAGCATATAAAATAAAACTCTTTAAATTAAAGTTTAAATGTTGACCGACCAGGCAATTTGAAAAGCTTTATTTGCTACTTGAATAATTTTTGCTCCAATAGACTCTTCAATTCAAATAATGCAATATCATGAAAACGAATAAAAAATATGAAAACATGTGAAAAATGTCTATGTATTTATTATATGAAAAGAAAAAAATGTATGATTTTAACATTTTCAAGGTAGGTTTTGTTTTTCCAAAGTAAAATTAAATGTTTGAAGATCCAAAATCAACTTACCAGTCCTTAAGAGAAAGAAAGAGGTTGCAGCTTTGATGACTGAGGTTGAAGAGGCTGTTTAAGAGAGTTTTTCTAATGTAGCTCACCTATTTTAGAATTCCAAAGCTGTTGAAGAGGCTGTTGGAGATGCTCTTACGTACTCAGTTGTCAAAGTAATATTTGCCAGATCCCATAAAATTCAATGCCAAGTATGCTTATAGAAATCATGACTTCAACAGAGAAATCCCTTTTTTTTTTTTCTTTTTTTTTTTAATGTCGAGTTTGGGGTGAATGGGCTACTATAATTTGCTTTTCTTCAAGCTGAAGCATTCATGACATGGCCATTCTTATTCTGAAATAAATTCAAAATGGTACTTCAAAAGTGCAAAAGGAATGATCAAGACACGTGCACTTTTCTATAGGAATTTGTACAGATTTCTCAAAATACACAGAATCACAAAATGAATGTAATACAAATACAGATAACAATGAACAAACAAATTAAGAACCCCATGAAATTCATTTGTTACACAGTATTTGGTATCTTATATATGATCACAAACTGGCATATAATTCCACAGTGCCCATAAACTTCAATCCAACTCCAGCATAATATCCATTGGCACAAAGTAATAAACAATTCAGTCAGAAAAAGCTTATAGCTGCAGCAGCAACCACTGAAACTCCAATGGAGACAATGGCATTAATTTTGGAGATCAGAGAAGGAACAGCACCAGACTTCACTTCAGCAACATCAGGAGTAGTGTCATCAGAATCAGATGATGAAGATTCCTTCGTAGGCTTCTCTTGTACAGGTGCCGGAGCCGGTGAGGGTTGGTGATGCTTGGGAGCAAAAACACCATAAGGCTGGAGCACACTGTTAACTTTGTAAATAGCAATTTGACTATCGGAGTAGACAGTGCCTGAAATGGAGGTGTTCACAAGGCCAGTGGAAATGTTGACTGAACTGCCTGTTGTGGTAATGTTTAGTGGATACTGAAATCCAGTTCCAGCTTGGGTTCTCACTGGATTGCTGAGAGTTTGAAAGTTTTGGATTGTGAGAAAATCTGGGATCAGATGGAATTGTAAGAGCTGCACTTTTTGCTCATCGCTCAAAGAGTTGAGTGAGCCTGTGCTGAGCCTTGAGAAGGCACTGTCAGTTGGGGCTAAAACGGTGAGTTGGCTATTTGAGTTGTTGAGTTGGCTGTAGAGCTGTCTGTCAATTTGGGTGCTTTTTAAAAGGCGGATTAAGACATTGAAGCCACCTGCTTTTTCAAGGATTTTGGTGATGTTGGTTGGGCCTGGAGGTGCAGGGGCATCAGCTGGTGGTGCTGGAACTGCTGGCCCTGTAATTGATGGGGCAGCTGGAGCAATTGGGGCAGCTGGGGCAATTGGGGCAGCTGGGGCAATTGGGGCAGCAGGAGCAGCAGGAGCAGCAGCAGGGGCTGCAGCAGGAGCTTGGGCTAAGATTTTGGTGCAATGGGAGAGGAAGATAAGTAGAAGTGTGAGTGAGAAAAGAGGCTGATGCTGAAGCTTCACCATCTTGTTTTTGAGTGTGGTGGGGTTTCGGCTGCTTAATTTGCTTGAAAACAAATAATGCCAAAGCAAGATTGGTGCTTGCATGCACAAGGTGTTTGATATTTTGTGCAAGTGTTTGATATGAGTTTTGGGGGGAATGGAGAGGGTTTTTATAAGTGGTGGGAGATGAGGGATTTAGGTGAGGAGGGTGATAATTATTATTTGATCAGTTATACAACCTTCGCAGTTAGCATGTCTGTCTTTGTTGGGAAGGTGAGAGAGAGGAAATGTAGAGTGAGATTGTGGTGTTAGAGCTACTAGTTTGCTTTCATCTAATCATTTGCCAAGAGAGAGGGAATGAATGTAGTGAGGTTGTGGTGTCAGAGCTACTAGCTAGCTTGCTTTATGTAATCATTTGGGGTTAAGATTTACTTCCAAATTGTTGGCGGTTAAGCTCTAAAATACAGGGGTGCGCATAAATATTGGAGAAAATAATTAATGATTAAATCGAACTCATTGAGTCGGTTTAGTTCGATTTTTAATTAAAAATATTTATTTTGAATCAAATTGTCTGAACCCGTCAGCTCCAATTGTAATATTTTAGGTTCGATTTCTCTTCCTCTATACACTTCCTCATTTCATATCTTCCTATTTTTCTTATCTATCTTCAAGTATCATTGCTTTTCTCAAGTCGACTAAGCACTAATGCGTCATCGATGGTCGTCACCTCTGCTCTACTTGATTCAAACAACTCACTGCCTCATCTTCTATGTCGTCTCACCAAACCGAGTTCATCAAATTGGGCCAAAGTTGGTACAATTACACCAATTTTTTACTACAACACCTATTTGGTCTATATTGACGGTTGGGCGACAATTCTACTGACGGTTAACGATGTGGCACATGAACCAAACTAGCTCGTGCCCACTCTACTAAAACGACATTTATACTAAATCCCAAGATCCCTTATAGGCCTATAACAATTTTAAAAATGCTTAAGTAACAATGTCTTTAGAAATAAAAATGAAAAAAAGTCTTAAATTACCTCTAAACTTAAGGACAAAAATTCACAAGTGACACTCTTTTATTGTCTAAGGGTGGAAAGGAGAGAAAAAAAACCTAGGGGACAGCCAGAGAGAGAGAGAGAGAGAGAGAGAGCAAATGAAGAATTGAACTTGCACCTTTTTTTTTTGTCAACTTCAAACTTTGATAGAAAACCCAAAAAGGGAAGGGAAACAAACCAGTAGCAATAACAAACAAGGCTAACAGACAGCCCAGAAACTATAAACCGTTACTCAAAACAAAAGCAAATAGCTAGTCTGAGATGCCTCACCCTCAAATTGGCGATAGCTGCTGCCGCATGGGCACGCACATATTTTTTTTAAAAGTACTTCTCTTTATTTCTCAATCTCTCGGTGTCTCGCTGTCCCTTATACGAATATGAGATGTTAAGATGGAGATGTAACTAGTTCTCATAAGGCACAAAAGATTACACTTGGATCAGATAAAGGAATTAATTTTTCTGGATGGTTTTCTTTGTTTTAGGTAATTTAACATGGGGCTTTAAAGCAATGCATTCATGATTGTGTTCATATGCTAACGCATTCGTGATGATAACTCGTATTCTCAAGTTTCTCAAGAGACGCCATGTACTGATTTTGTGGAGGGAATTACACAAGTTTAAAATACACAGAAGCCCAAGATGAAATGCGCAAATGAAAATATTGCATTATAGTAAAATGATTATACAAAGAAACAAAACAAATCAAGAACCCAATGAAATTCAACAAAACATTATTGGTCTCACATACAGATCACATTTCTGACATGCATAACAACAATTATTACGTACCCTTCAAATTCAAACCAACTCCAATTGGAACAAACAATTTTGTCAAGAAAAGCTTAATGCTGCTGCAGCAACCACAGCAACTGCAATCGAGACAATGCCGTTAAATTTGGGGAGCATGGTAGGCACAGCTCCAGACTTCACTTCAGCAACAGGAGGAGTAGTACTAGTGTCACTGTCATCAGAATCAGATGATGAAGAATTCAACTTAGGCTTCCTGTGTACAGATGCTGGAGCTGGAGCTGGAGCTGGAGCCAGTGACGGTAGTTGACGCTTGGGAGCAAAAACACCATAAGGCTGGAGCACACTGTCAACTTGGTAAATAGCAATTTGATTATCAGAGTAGACAGTGCCTGAAATGGAGGTGTTCACAAGGCCAGTGGAAATGTTGACTGAATTGCCTGCTGTGGTAATGTTTAGTGGATACTCCAATCCAGATCCAGCTTGGGTTCTCACTGGATTGCTGATAGTTTGGAAGTTTTGGATTGTGAGAAAATCTGGGATCAGATGGAATTGTACGAGCTGCCCTTTTTGCTCATCACTCAAAGAGTTGAGTGAGCCTGTGCCGAGATTTGAGAAGGCACCGTCAGTTGGGGCGAAAACGGTGAGTTGGCTATTTGAGTTGTTGAGTTGGCGGTAGAGCTGGTTGTCAACTTGGGTGCTTTTTAAAAGGCGGATAAAGACTTTGTAGCCACCTGCTCTCTCAAGGATTTTGGTGATATTGGTTGGGCCAGAAGGTGCAGGGGCATCAGCTGGTGGTGCTGGCACCACTGGCCCTGTACTTGTTGGGGCACCTGGGGTAGCTGGGGCAGCAGCAGGGGAAGCAGAAGGAGCTTGGGATAAGATTTTGGTGCAATGGGAGAAGAAGATCAGTAGCAGTGTGAGTGAGAAAAGAGGCTGATTCTGCTGCTTCATCATCCTGTTTTTGAGTGTGGTGGGATGCGGCTTCTTAATTTGCTTGGAAACAATTAAAAACCACAAAGAGTTTGATATTTGGAGAAGATGTTCGATATGAGTTTGGGGGGAAATGGAGAGGGTTTTTATAAGTGGTGGGAAAGGAGATATAAGGTGAGGTGGGTGATAATTATTTGATGCAACCTTCGCAGTTAGCATGTCTGTCTTTGTTGGGAAGGTGAGGAGGGAATCAATATAGTGAGATTGTGGTGTCAGAGTTACTAGTTTGCTTTCATCTAATCATTTGGTGTTTATCATATGCCAAGAGAGAGGGAATGGATATAGAGTGGGTGTGGGATTGTGGTGTCAGAGTTACTAGTTTGCTTTCATGTAATCATTTGGGGTTTAAGATTTACGTGGGGTTAAGCTTTAAAACACAAGTGGTGTGCACATAAATACAGGAGAAAAAATTGATTAAATCGAACCAATCAGGTCAGTGTGATTCGATTTTTAATTAAAAAAAACATTTATTTTGAATCAACCATCTAAACTGATTCCGCTCCAATTTTAATATTTTTGGTTCGATTTCTCTTCTTCCATACTTTTCCTCTTTTCATATATATATATCTGGGTAAATGGTTGAAAATCCCCCTGGACTATTTGGCTTGTCGAAATGTCCACCCTGAAATTTTTTTTCAGCCAATTTATCCTTTGTATTAAATTTAATCGCCAATTTAACACCTACCATCAAGTTTCTATACTTCCATCCAATTTTCCGTCAATTACAAGGGTAAATTTGTCATTTTACAAAGTACAATATTAATAAAATTTTAAAAAAATGTAAAAACAAAAAATAGGCTAAACTTAGATCTATTTTTCCAAAAACCTATTTTCTGGGTTTTCTTCATAGATGGTGATGTTTTCTCTGTTTGCTTCTCTAATGGTGGGTTTTGATATGAAATTTCTCAGTTTTTTTTGGTTTATGAGTATCAATATATTGGACTAGCTGAGGATCTGGCGCTAATGGCGGAAGAGGCCGACGTTCCGGTGGAGCAGGTTGAGCTTGGACTAGCTGAGGATCTGGCGCCACTAGCGGTGACGATGCAGAGGTCGGATCCAATTGTGACGGCGTAGTCGACAGGTTTATGAGTATCAATATATTGGACTAGCTGAGGATCTGGCGCTAATGGCGGAAGAGGCCGACGTTCCGGTGGAGCAGGTTGAGCTTGGACTAGCTGAGGATCTGGCGCCACTAGCGGTGACGATGCAGAGGTCGGATCCAATTGTGACGGCGTAGTCGACATCGGCTATGATCTTGGTGAGGGGGACAAAGGCGGCAGCGTGCTGGAGGTCGAGCATCTCGCCGCAGAGCTTCTCGAGTTTGGTCTGGGTGAGGATTGGTCTGGGCGAAGGCCATAACCAAGTTGCTGACGCCAATGACGGAGAACTTGGTGTGGCACTTGGTGGAGGAGGGAGAGGCGGCGTCGGAGATGGGCTTGAAGAAGGCTTGGGTTCAACCTTGTCGTCTGCACTGCGTGCAGAACTTAGGTATTCAACGATTTTATGGAGATAAAAGTCTCGATGCTGTAGTTGTTGATTTTGAAAAAAAATCCTATTTATTTCATAACCTTGCTAATCTGGTGGTTGATGATGCGGATGAAAATGAATCCAGCTTTGGAGCAAGGTATGAAAAAGGAAAAAGAAATTGCAAAAATTAAGTGAAGTGAAGTGATTTAAAATTGAAAAAGAAATTGAAAAAGAAATAGCGGATGAAGTGATTTAAAATTTAATTATTTTAAACTTAAAAAAATTAAATTTTAATTGAACAGTGAGTCATGTGCCTTCCATGTGACATTTAGACAGAAAATTGGATGAAATTGCATGACAACTAACGGCAGGGGCTAAATTGACCATTTAAAATAATCTGAGTGCTAAATTGGCTGAAAAAAAAATTCAGGGTGGACATTTCGACAAGCCAAATAGTCCAGGGGGGTTTTCGACCATTTACCCTATATATCTTCCTATTTTGCTTACCTATCTTCAAGTTCTCTGTGTTTGTGGTAATTTGTTCCTTTAGCTGGTCTTTTTGACTTTTGTATTTTCTGTTTGTTTCCTCCCCATTTATGGGTTTTGAATGAACATGATTGATTACGACCAAAAAAAAAATCTTCAAGTATCATGGCTTTTGTTTAGAGTCGAACAGGTACTTATGTGTTGTTGACGATCCTCATTCTTGGCGTGACTTGTGCACCCGTTGACTTTTCTTGCACGTCAAGGATTCCTATATTAATAATTGAATTGGCTTTATTTTTTATTTTCCACTGTAAATAGAATTAGGAATTAATTACTTTACTTGGTCTCCAAGACTTTTATTGTATTATAAATATGGCCTCTTACAAGAAGAAGTATACATAGAACATTTTTCGACCAAAAAAAAAATACATAGAGAATTCCCACCACAATTACTCTCTTATAATTTTAGCATGGTATCAGAGCTGAGATCTTGGGAGTGCTTCTAAACCCTAGCCAAACTCCAACTAACACCGCCATAGGGGATCAGATAACCCTCCATGAAGGTGGCACCATCAATTCCTCTCCCACCCAGACCTAGATCTTAGCATACTTGACTTCAAGAATGACCCAATTGCTGACACAGATCCATACTCAGATTCCAACACAGACACTGACTAAGACTCTGAGTCAGACCCAAATACTGACCTAGACCTAGACTCCAATCCAGACCTAAATTTCGACTTAAACTATACCCTATGAATCTTTTGCTGCACATATTACGACTTCCCGAACAAAGAACCAGACAGATAGAGGAGGTTGCACACACTGTGACAATCTAAGACACTATCATGAAACTTGTTTCAAATTGAATGGCTACCCAGAATGGTGGGATGAACTCAAAGACCAAAAACAACGTGAAGCTGGTTCTGGTTATGTATTCCATACTTCTGAAAGAGTGATTCCAAGGGTTGGATCATTGATTCATGGGGCAATTGCTCATATGACGTTTCATCCTAATAATTTTTTGAGTACCACCCAACCTAGGTGAACTATTATTGCTAATGCCAATTGAGTTACTTATCCTTTGACAAGGGTTGACACTATTCCTCTATCATCCTCTCTCTCCTTGTCTAATACTTTACTTGTTCAGTCTCTATCTAATAAGTTGATGTCAGTTGGTCAGGTTACTGAACCATTGAATTGTTGTGTACTAATCTACCCGAGTTTTTGTTTGCTTTAGGATATTCATACTAAGAAGATCATTAGTCATGGTACAAAGTGATGGGGCTATATTATGTGGATGACTTTATTAGTACATGCATGGCTAACAGTGTGACACATCCTTCTAATAGCAAACAAAGGAAAATATGGTTGTGGCACCGTCGATTAGGACATCCATCATTTAGTTATATGAAGAATCTTTTACCAGTTTTATTCTTATATTGGATATAAATTACTCCCACTACTTTTGTGAATCTAGTTGATGATTATATTGGATATAAATTACATTTCAGGGAAAACTATGGAAAACCACCAAACCAGCTTTCTCCTTATATTGGTAAGACATTAAAGTACCCAATTGCAAATCATGTTCAACTCATAGATTTCCTGAACCAGTCGAGGATTTCATGCATCAGTTGTGTGCTATACACATACCAACCAAGGTAACTGAAGCATTGAAAGATCTGAAGTGGGTTCAAACAATGAAAAAAGAGATGGAGGCCCTGAAAAAAAAAATCGGACATGGAAACAGAAGTCATTGCCACAAGGAAAACAAATAGTCTGATGCATATGGGTATTCATCATTAAACACAAGGCTGATGGATCCATTAAATGATACAAGGAAAGACTTGTGGCAAAGGGGTACACACAGACCTACGACATAGATTATGAAGAAAAACCCTTGCTCAAGTGGCAAAACTTAACACTATCAGAGTTCTGTTCTCTTTTCTAGCCAACCTGGATTGGCCACTTCACCAATTTAATGTGAAGAATGTTTTTTTTTTTTTTTTTTGGCATGGAGAACTTACAGAATAAGTGTACATGGACATTTGACCTGGATATGATGCATCTACTCAGACTAGTGTGGTGTGCGAACTGAAAAAGGCTTTATATGGGTTAAAGCAATCACCCCATGGGATGGTTCACCATAGCAATGAAGAATAACAGTTTCAAGTTAAGCAACTCAGATCATACTATGTTCTTTACGCACCAGGAGGGGAAGGTAACTGCCATAATAATTTAGGTTGATGATATGATTATCATTAGGAATGATAAACAAGAAATTTTTAAGTTTCAAGAATATTTGGCAATGGAGTTTGAGATGAGAACCTTGATGGACTCAAGTATTTTATGGGCATTAAGGTGGCTTGATCAAAGCAAGACATATTTCTTTCTCAAATGAATTATGTATTGGTGTTGGCAGAAACATGATCGCTAGATTGCTAACCGGTGGACACTCCAATTGTTTAGAATCACCATCTTAGAGAATACCCTAATCAAGTACCCACTAACAAAAAGACATATCAAAGGTTAGTGGGGAGATTGATGTACTTGTCACATACTCGACCATACATCGCTTATGTTGTGAGCCTTGTCAGTCAGTTCATGGATTCCACGAGTGAAGACCATATGGATGTAGTCCTTTGAATCCTTCAATATTTAAAGTCGACACCAGGGAAGGAACTTATGTCTTAAGAACAATCACCTGAATATTGATGATTATACGGATTCAGATTAGGCATGAAGTGTTATTGACAAAAGATCTATATCAGGTTACTTCACATTTGTAGGGGGTCATTTGGTTACTTGGAGAAGTAAGAAACATAAGGTGGTTGCCTTATCCAATGCAGAAGTTGAGTTCAGAGGTATGACCAAAGGAATTTGCGAACTCCTTTGGTTAAAGAAATTGCTTATTGAGCTTGGATATGCACCTACATATGTGATGAATCTGTATTGTGACAACAAGGCTGCAATATCCATTGCACATAATCCAGTTCAACATAATCGCA